TTGTTCAACAACCATCCAAACACTAAGTTCTTCCTAATCAATGGAATATACAACACATCATTAACTCTTTTCTAAGTGATACCATTTTTAGAATGTTTTAAACACCAAATTTAAGTGTTTAGAATCATAATTTCAAGAATAAATTTCTGTCTCAACTTGTACAACCTTATAATTATTGAGTCACTCCCTCTTTGTGCACACATGGCGTGTAACACCCATATCAATCCGTCACTCAATGGAGTTAGCATCCATATAGTTTACTTCGAAAATCATTCAAGTTTAGATGATGACGTTTCTGAAATCATTTATACACTAAATATAAATATTTAGAATTCCAATTTCTAGAAAATATGTTTGCCTCTTGCTTGGAAAAAACTCTACATAATTAAAATATATATTTGAACAATTATGAAACTTGATTTCTAATGCAGGAATTCTAAAATTTGATTTCTCATGCAGAAAACTGATGCATAAATTCTGATATGAGAAAACTTATGCTTTCTTTCAACAAAACTATTTAAAATGTGATGTTTTTAAGTAAAACCAAATTGTTTTTTGATTTCCAAAGCTGTTTTACATAAAATTAAAGTCATTTTTGACTAAACAAAGCCTTTTTGTTTTTCACAAAACAATGCAGTCTGTTCAAGATTGCTTTAGTCCCACTTAAACCTATAAAAATGCAATTTAATTTCATAATAGCCATCTCTCTTAGCTTTCCAAGGACTACTTCCACAAGTGCACACGATTTTTCTACAATTTATTATGAATTTTACAAAATTGTGTATCATAGTTGTTAAAATCTAACCAGTCAGTGAAAATCGTATTTTTCACCCTAGTTAGAGTGGTTTACAGCTTTTTTCCAAAATTAATAAAAGGAAGTAGACTCATATACCAAACTTTGAGAATTGGTTTCAACCAAAAATGAACATCCATGATTAAGTTATGATTTTTCAAATATTGAGACAGATTAGAGCATTTCACAGCAACACACAAATTGTGTTTTTGAGTTAAACTAGCTCCTTAACCCATTAGGTACTTAATAGAATCAGTACCGAAGCTATGCAATTCGATAGTTAAAAACAAATACAAGTCTTAATGACTTAATGACCAAAGATGCTTCAAAAAAAGAAAAAAAATCATTTTTTTCTTATGAAAATCATACAATATCAAAATAATGCAAGTAAATTGTTTTTGATTTCTTGTTCGTTTCATACAGACGAATTTGTTTTAAGATTGTAGGAATAATATTATGGAAATGTACGAAAACAAATAAGAAATACGAAAAGTTAAGGCATGTGTTTAACACATTGTCTTTAAAACAAATTCGCTCGCTATCGGGTGTTTGTTTCCAGGATACAACAACTAGAAGTGTTTCTTCTAGACCACCCGAACTCTCATTAGACCTGGATTTTACCTTTAATTAAGCAAGAAAACTAAGAACATGTAATGGAGAAGAAGAGAGTTTTTGTATTCTTCTTCGGGTTCTCAAATGGCTTTATAGTAGTAATATTTATACTACAAATTCTATAACCTCCCATTTAAACACCTATATTAATCAAAAAATTAATGTGTGTTAATATGCAATTAAATTGTAATATTAATTACAATTTCAGTTACAAAGGAAAGAAATATTTGCAAGAAAAGTCCCTAAACTTTTGTTTTCTTTCTCCCAACCATTAAACTCTTTTATTTACTTCTACAAACACCCTTACTTTAATGATTAATTTCTCATTCATATAAATTCATTTTGGACGTGTTAAAAAAATGGGAAAAACCCATTTTTATAAATTGGTTAACACCAATTTTCCAACAATATAATGTATTTTGTAGTTTTATGTTATTTTAAACTATTATTATTTTTACTTAATTAAAAACTATTTGTTTGAAAAATATTCATTATTATATTTTAAAAAACTTATTGTACTTTAGTATTGTATTGTCTTTAAAGTTTAAAATATTGGAAATGAATGGAGGGTCTAAGTAAAACGATGATTTGTAATTCAAAATTATAGTAATTTTTAAGTAGTAAGACCAATCATAAAAATAAAAAACATAGTAAGAGTGGGTTATAGGAGGAGGGAGTGTTACATGTGAGGTATATTTTTATCACTTATATTTTCTTATGATATTATTAATATTTCCTTATTTTACTTTTCCTTTATCATGAAGACCAAATAAAAAAACTGAAAAATATAGTAAGAGTGGGTTATGGGAGGAGGGAGTGTTACACGTGAGGTATATTTTTATCACTTATATTTTCTTTTGATAGTATTAATATTTCCTTATTTTACTTTTCCTTTATCATGAAGACCATATAAAAAAACTGAAAAATATAATAAGATAAAATAGAATACTTATTTTTATTACTACAAAACATTTAAAAAAACACGTACTTCCATATAAGTTTTGTGAGAATATAAAAAATATTTTTTTATAACACAAAAATAATAGTTGGTTTTCAACAATAAAGTCATATCATATTAAAAATCATTGGTTTTAATTTGTCATTATCACCAATACTTTGGAATAATAATTGTAAACTCCTTTTATCAAAATCAAATTTCAAACATTCCATTGATGTTATTTACAACCAAATAATAAGCGATATAAACTAACATTATATGTAACTAATAGCATAAAATACATATTGGATAATGTTCTCTTGGAAAGAAAAATAAATTGTGTTAACATAAAAAGAAAGACATCATAAAAATATATACATGATATACATACATGGTAATTGCTCGAACTGATAAATAGTTTGAAGATTGATTTACCCAAAACTCATGAGAAGTAATTATCATTCTCACTTCATTATCTTGTGATTATAAGAATATTCACAATGCATAAACTTAAGAAAAAGATCTCAAGTATGCTCACAAACACATACCAAAATTTGAAGCTCAATTAAAATCTAAAACTTTACATACACCCAATTTGAGTTTACTTGCATTTGCATTTGGAAAAAAAAATGCAATTGCTCTCTTATATCCATGGAACTACTCACATAACTCTTAAAACCCTATTAATATTATATATCATTTTGTGTTGATATACATGCAATATGCAAATTGCTCTAACTGATAAGTAGTTTGATGATTGATTTACCCAAAGCTCATGATAAGTAATTATCAATCCCACTTCATCATCTTGTGATTATAAAAGAAGATCCATAACACATAAACTTAAAAAAACGATCTCAAGTAAACCATTAAACACATGCCTAAATTTGAAGATTGGTTAAAATCTAAAACTTTACGTGCACCCAATTTGAGTTTACCTGCATTTACATTTCGAAAAAAATACGATTGTTCTCTTACATCCATAGAACCACTCACATAACTCTTCAAACCCTACCAATATAATCTATAATTTTTTGTTGACATACATGCAATATGCAAGCTACAATGTTCTTATATAGAGTAAATATTTCATTTAAACCATCAAATAAATAACATGATATGAAAAGTTTTGGGAGTTACAAATCACAACATTTCAATTAACCATAAATTAAATTGTATAAGTTGAATAGTCTTGAGAGTTTCAAATGAATGAGGTTCAAAGAAAAATGCTTGCTTTATATATATATATATATATATATATATATATATATATATATATATATATATATATATATATATATAATATATATATATGTTAAAATCTACATAGGTTAAAATGTAGATGACATCTATTGTGCGGACGCGTGTGGACAGTGCTATTCTGTGAGAATAAATAAGAAAATAGGTTTTTTTGTGTAATGTAAATACGTTCAAGTTCACATAAATATCATCATTATCATGCATTCTCACTAATTTTTATTCATTTTTGTTCTTACATATCGTTTTTCACTCATTCTTATTCTTACTGAATACGATTATCAAGTACACATTCAGAACGAATGAGAATCATAAAAAATCCATAATACCCTTATAGATGATTTATTAGCGAAAATGTGTGATAATGACAATAATTATGTGAGGTTGAACGTATTCACATTATCAAACAACAAATTCTCCTAGTTATTCTCACAGAATAGTACTGTCCACACGTCTGCACAATATATGTCCATCCACATATGAACCTCTCTCTCTCTCACTATATATATATATATATATATATATATATGTGTGTGTGTGTGTGTGTGTGTGTGTGTGTGTGGGTGGGTGTGGGGGGGGGGGTGTCATACACTTACGAGAAATTAACTTAATAGGGTAATTACATTTTCATTTTAATCACATTTAGGTGACTTTTTTTTGTACATATCTTTATAACGAACTTGTTGGAACTGTTCACATATGACCATTATGATCGACTATATCATTTTACAGCAAGTCATCATAGTCATTTGTGAACGCTTCCAAAAAGTTCGCTACCTATATGTGTATAAAAAAAGTTATTCATATGTGAAGAAAACAAAAAGGTAATTACCTTGATAAGTCAAGTTCACTTCTTTTTTATTTTACCTTCTAATTTTGATTTGATATAAAATTTAACCTAAATGGTAACTATTTTTAAAATCACACAATTTTTTTTAAATATCTTTTTAAAATACACTACTTTTATAAAACATAACTTTAGATTTGTCGGGGGAAAAAACAAATCTTCATTTTATAGAAATTTATTGTTTAAGATATTAAATATAAAAATTAAAATTTAGTAGAGACATTATTAAATATACAGATCAATAACATGAAGAACATCATCTTCAATGCAATTTGTTCCATGTATTACATAAATTTAAAATACAAAAAATAGAAGTAGTTATTATGTAACATTAATAACATGTCTCATATATATATATATATATATATATATATATATATATATATATATATATATATATATATATATATATATATATATATATATATATATATATATATATATAGTTATTTGATAATTATACTACTTAAAACGACTCCCATCATATCGGGACCAATTTAATTCGGTTGATTTTTGTTTATTGATTTGGTTTTTTTCAATTATTATTTTTGCAGCAGAACACTAAGGACGCATTTGAAGCACTGACCAAGGGAATCAATGCTGGTATTGGAATCGCCAATTTCGCTGCTACTGTTGGCATGTGTTCCATTGTATAATAAGTTTGGCAATATGGTGTGTTTTCTATTATGTTTTAAGTATGTATGTGAGTTTCATTATCCGTTTGTTGAATTCACACATATCTGTTAAAGGTTGTGATCCATCGACATTCTATCATTCAGTTACTGTATTAAATATTCTTAAGTTGAATAAACATCTTAAAGTTTCAATCAATAGTTTGATAATCTTTCTATTTAATAAATGAAACATTTTGTCAACGTGTCATTTCAACCAAACATTTTACATCAAAATGAATTTCCAGTTATACCCCTCATTTGTTTAGTGTTTAATTCAATTTGGTTTTTTTGGATCTGAATCGAAATTCATTTGTGTATACATTATTATTTACAAAATAATGTTTTACTATGATGTTTTTAATAAACTACTTTAATAAAATTTTATAATTCTTTAATTTTCTATTATCATTTTTAATTATCAATATTCTTTTTCTTTCTTATCCGTGGTTTCTACGGGTTGTAACCTAGTAAACAATAAAAACTAAAATAAAGATTCTATAACTCTTCGATGATCAAATAACACCTTTAGTATGTCAAAAACTATTTAATTTAGTTTAAAATAAATAACTAAATACATATTGTAGTTTGACATGCTTTATTTATTTAAAATTCAAAATTAGGGTTATTAACATAAAAACAAATAAAAGTTTCAGTTTTGGCTTTAAACTATCATTCAACTTTTTATTTTTATTTTTTTATTTTTTTATTTTTTTTTATATGTTAAACCATTAAGGTCGAAATTTACATATCTAAAATATCATTTTATTTAAAGTTACCAGATTTATGAATTACATCGCTGATATGTATATTGACTATTGATAGTCAAAGGTTCCCGTAGCCACATGAATATATCCACGTGGACTGTTGATCTCTTTCCAATTCTTCATTTTCTTTTTCTTCTACCTTCTCCCTATCATTTTCATTCTCAAGTTGCATAACAACTCCTAAATCGAGTTCGACACTATCATCGTGTGATGAATTTGAAAAAGGGATTAGAGATTACAAACAAAAAGTGATTTCCTTATAACAAAATCACTAGAGAAAAATATGAAATTGACTTCTCTTTAAGAATTAGAGCCTTTAGAGGGGTTAATAGAAGGTATATTTCGCCATTTGTGAAAAACACACACAGATATAGACAATGATAACGAAGCAACCAGTATCGTATCTCGGTGTTGTCAGTGTTGAAAACAACAACAATTGCTCTGATACCAATTGGTTAAAACTATAAAAATTGATGAAGTACTGAAATACAGTTTTAGAATAGTCAAATGGCAAGAGGTGCGGAAAACAAAAGTTATAAATCAACCAAGTATTTTTGCAAAGTGTTTTGTAAACTCAAGATAAATTATTCAAATGTGTTTCATGTTCATATTTATAAACATTCGATTACAAGTGTTTGAAACAACAATGAAACTTAAAAAAAACACTAATGTGTTGTTTGTTTTTATAGAAGCAAAATGTATGCAATCTGCGGACCATATCTGAAGACCTTTGCGGTAGAAGATGTAGTAGAAGAGGTGGACAAAATATCTACAGTCTGTAAGAAGAAGACTATTTTTTTATATATAATATTTGTATACTATTAAAATAAGTTAAAATCTAAATAAAATAATTTTTTTAAAACTTATTAAAGGTTTTCAATAATGAAATTTAAATAGTTCTAATGTTCTAGTTTTACAACACTAAATGTAACGACGTAAAATTTCAAACAATTTTTTTCATTTTAAAATCGCATACTCTTCATAACATATTGTATAAAAATCACGTTTATTCAATTTACAAAACGCAACTCCATGTTTGACTAATTAATACTCTAGGATCCTCAAAACATAACTGTTTCTATGGTATGTACAATCAAGTTGGTGCCGTCCCACGATCCTAAAGAACCTGAAACACATAACACATAACACGGTAAACACGAAGCTTAGTGAGTTCTCCAAATACCACATACAACAATGCGCCACTCAAGACTATACTCTGTAAGACCCTCTAGTCAATGTGTCTCAGCGGGACCCTCTAGTCCCATAGCTCGTTGGACCCTCTAGTCTGGTCTAGCTTGTTGGAACCTATGGTCCGGTCTGGTTGAAGACCCTTTGGCCTTATAAATCGTTGGACCCTCTGGTCCGGTTTGGTTGAGGACCCTCTGGCCTCATAAATCGTTGGACCCTTTGGTCCGGTTTGTAAAGCTCCGCATGACATAAATCACAAAGAAATAATGCACATCATAAAACGTAAGGCAGGATAACATATACTCAATGTAAGCACATAGGACCTTGCAGTCACACATAACTACCACTCAAGGTAAGGTATAGTGAGAAGACTCACCTAACAAGCAGCCAATAGAGACCTCACTCCCGAATCTCAAACTAGCCTCCGCCTAACACAAGGGATGAATATCTGTAAGTAATATTCTAATCACAACTCTAATCATTGAAGGCTATTCTTCCTCTCTTTAACTCTTTGAAGTGGATAAAAGATCATTTTATCCCTCCATGGTCTCTATTACTCCTGTTAACCAAAGCCCCAAAGTCAACATAAGTCAAACTCGAGTCAACGATCCATGTTTGACCCGAATCATCGAGTGCATTCATGCAACTCGTTGAGCCACTCACATAATCATAAGTCTCGTGAATGCCCAGCTCAGCTCGTCGAGTTAACCCATACTCGTCGGGCTATCGCATGAACAAGCTCATTGGGACAAACCCCTCGGTTCGATTACTCATTCAGACATCCAAAGTCAAATCTATCAATCCAAGCCCTAGATCTAGCCCTTCAAGACACAAGAGATACATAAAGTCTCGACCTTTACGTTCATGCATGGCATGAACGCCTCAAATTCCAAAACAAAGCCCTTCTTAAGGTGTTAAGCACAAAAACCCTTCATGGATGGATAAAGTTGGGACCTTTGGACTCTAGGGACTTCACAAGGTCCAGATCTGAGGTATAGGCTTCTAGTTAATCCATTTTGCTCAAAGTCCCAAACCAAAGGTGATAAAAGTCCTTGAATTTCAAACACATAAGATCTAACCAAAATAATGGGAAAGGTGCAAACTTTTTACCTCCCTCGGAAGCTCTGGACGATCTATCATTGAATCCAACAACCCCACTCTTGCTCCTTGCTTGATCTCCTTCCCTTCTTCTCAAAAGATGCACTAAGAATCCTAAGATAAATTCTCTCTCAATTTCTAGCTAAAATGGTAGTTAGGGTATGCTCTCAGGGGTGTAGGGTGACTAGTGAGGTGTAAATGGGGGTATAAGTTCCCTTAAATAGGCCCCAACCCCAGGAAATTAGGGTTTCTCTGCCAAGCACCAACTCGACGGTCTGCCTCCCGACTCGTCGAGTACGTTCATTAAATCCCACACGACAACTCAGCGAGTTGGACTCCCAACTCATCGAGTCACTCCTTAATCCTCAAGAATTCAACTAAACAATAACATACCTAAAATTTCGGATGTTACAATTCTCCCCCACTTGAAATAGATTTCACCCTCAAAATTACTCCTCAACCACACATAGATCGAACCTATAACTCGGAAAGCACCTATGAAAAGGGCCATATACCCCACCGATATCTTTACTATGGACACCTAAATCCCAACCAGAACTCCTAAATCTAGAACAAAACCGACCCTTTTGCCGCTAAGATATCCCCCTTTATGACCTCCCCAAAATCTGGAAGCTCTAGTGGCCTGGCCCGCCGCCAGACCGCCCACTCAAGATATCACTACGTTATCCGCTCCTCGAATAAGAAACCCTGATAACTCACAGCCCCTCTGATTCTCTCCAAACATAAACCAACAAATGGGCTACCGATCACTCATATTAAACATAGTAACGATCTAAATCACGCCCCAAGAAACGGAAGGGTTCACATCCCTCCAGGACTCATCTACTGAAATGCTATTGGTGATGGGTCTGGAGCATTCTAACACTCCTATGGTGTACATGCAACCCTAGAAACCTTGGATCTATGTTTGACTAAGATACATGCAAATAATTATTTTTCCAAGGTTCTTATCCTATCTAGCATGGCATGGGGAACTTGAATCAAATAAAGCTAGTAGAATTACTTACCTTTTAGTTATAGTTAGTTGCTTGGAGTTTTAGAGCCTAGCACTAATAGTGTGGATGCCTCAAATGGAAATCACAAATCACCACAAACTTTGGAACCTTGAGAGAATAGCACAACTTTCTTGAAATCGGCCCTCTTACTTTACTCACCACAACTAGTGTGATTTCAAGAACCAAAACCTCCTTCATATAGTGTGGTGGATTAGGGTTACATCCATGTAAACCCTAATACCCATGTCTTTTCATTTCCATGAGATCCATGCGTTAAAGCTCCATGGAGTATCCATGGACTTTCCATGCAAGCCTAGCCCATTCCAAATAAGCATTAGCCCACACTATATAAATATAGGAGCCCATATTTAATTAGTAATACTTTGGATCTCTAAATTAATCCTAGATTAATTATAGATCAATACTAATTAAATAATATGATTTTATATTAATATATTAGAACTTATAATATATTAATAAATCATAACTTATACTATTCTCAAAAGATTATCCGTAGATTGTTCGGGTGAAGTGCAACCCAAATGGACCATGCCGGGTCGGGTTAAGTACATACCAAATATAGTTATGGACTTAGACACTATATCAAACAATTGGAACCCATCCAAACAATGAATTCTCAACACTCTACCCTCAGACACAATAGAAAAATCGTGCTCGTTCAGAAGTGTCCTCAGACATCTGAAAATCATAAGCCTCTACTCCATTCCTCATATCCCATTTTAACACTGAGTACTAGGTCTGATCCTGAACCCATAGTTGAACCTGCAGGTTATCCATTGCATTATCCCAATCATCTCAATGGTTTCCTTCTCACTATAACTACATCGGCCCATTTTGACACACAAGTCACGAAGTCCGCCATACCCCAAGCGAAAGCCACACTCCCAACTAAAGG